CCTAAGCTTATCTATTGTTGTTTAAACTTGAATTTAAAATATGGATTTTATATGTCAATACCAACACCTATTTCATTGTCTATAGAACATGTATCAATCTTAGGCGTTTCTTATCATATTGGTCAATTGGCTGGTCTTTGCTAGCATACACTACGTCTTCGGTATCTTGCATTAGAATTATCCAATAGTCATGTCGATGAAAAGATAGAAATACCGATTTCGTCAATAACTGAATTAAGTCTTATTTTTGCTGGTCCATAACATGATATTATAGAGAACATGTTACAACACGTGCCCAATTTATGTCAATTGAAAATTGAAACTTATTATTTTGACATGAACGGATATGGATGGGAAGAAATTATTCGTAATTATTTGCCCAAATTAAAAGTATTTCAACTGAAGATATGGTGTTCATTTATCAGTGAGAAGTATAAAAATGAATTCTTCAATTCTTTGCAAACATGATTTTGGCTTGAAGAGTATCAATGGTTTGCTAGATATCATTACAATCTAGATGATAATTCCAACATGATTTGTCTATACACATTACCATATAGCTTTTCCTATCTGGATATTGCTTTTCTTATTCATTCTAAATCAACTGGTTCCAATAATGATGACGATTATTTGTTATATGCTCATGCTCAACGTTAAGTTTATCGTTCTTCTTCAATAACCGAAACGATCGTGTCTAGACTTGGCTTTTCTAATGTAACTTATCTTTGAATAACACTTATAGTTAATAATCATTTGTTGCTGATTATGCAAAAATTTGATTGATTAACTTTATTGGAAGTATCATGATTGAAAAGCATGTCTAATATTGAGGCTCAGTTACAACTGCAACAAATACTTGACCCATGACACTAATGTTTGGTAAAAAAAACGCATTTTTCCATTTCTGCGAAACGCATTAAACCGTCCAGCATTAACGCGTTTCGCTGCTCCTTAAACAGACGACGTGAAACGCTTTTTTCGGAGCATCGAAGAACAAAAAAAAAAATTGGTAGGCTCTCCACTATTCATCGGATAAGGTAATCCTACTGTCTTATCATTCATCCATATATGATTATGACGGCTTCACACAATTTTTATGCGAGATTCGAACAAGAGAACAGAAGATGAAACACATTAGAAGGCAAGCACATAACCACTGAGCTAAAGATACTCAAAGAAGAAAGTTGTTCATTTTAGCTTGATTCAGATCTTATCAATATAGCTATGAATTTTACATAAACAGATTTGCAATATTGTATTAATACTATTGTAATCTCAAATTTTTTCTTGCTAGTATAAGTTTAGTGTATATTTATACGTAGAAGGAGATGGATTGCCTTATCAACTCTATGGTTCAAGTTAGTCGACTTGACATCATCTAACTAGGTGTTTTAAATTACTTAAGTTACAATGAGATCCACTATTCAAATCTTACATAAACTATCGCTATATGACACATGATGCTAAGAACAGAATTGATACGACAATGCCCACAATCCCCGTCGATAATTACAAATAAAAGGTTTTATTTACATTATAGTACCACTTTACGTTAGTGAAGTCCTCTTTCTTATTCATTTCAATTTTATACCTTTTGCTTTAAGAATAACATATTTATGGTCAAATTTCTTTGGAATGAACAATGGACTGATATAAAAAATATAATGAGCACATGTTCAGAAATGGTCGCTACTTCTTGTTTGGTTTTCACATTTCTTTAGTCTTTTCTATTTTCGTTCTTTTCTATTGTTCATGACAAAACAAAAACTAGAAAATAATATCTTAAATGAGTATTGGTATCAAATAATGGAAGAAATTGCCAATGCAATTGTTGTGAATTTCAGTTTTCACTTTTCTCTTATATAAATTTGACACCACTTAAGGTCATCGTTAGAGTCACACGATAAGTTGCAACAACAAAAAGTGAAGTATAAAAGCATGACAAACAGATGACTCATTGGATTACATTATAAAAAAAGTGATTCATATATAATATACGGTACAAAACCTTTGGCATAATGTCAGAACTTATTTGTCAGGGACAAACGCCTGATGCGTTGCAGTTTGTTTTAGAGAAGAATGTCTAGAGAATAAATTTGTCTAACCAAAAGTTGCTTATTTAGTCGAATTGTAAAGTGCAAGAATATTGTGAAACTAACCTAAAGAAAGTTTTTTAAAATCCAAGAAAGATAATTTATTTAGTAATATCGCTCCAAAAGCGACTAACCATGCACGAAACAAACTTTTGGATGTTCCTTAAAAAGCTACACCCAAACCATATCTTTAAAGAATTTTCTATTATTTTATTGATAATTTTATAAGCTAACAAGTTTTCAAAAATTTTCTTTTTTCTTACTGAACTGATTTTCCACTCAAATAGCTATTGATAGCGTAAAAAAATACTTCAAACAGATTATTTGATGTTGTCTTTTAACTTCTGTTGATAGTCATATTTAGTTCGAACTATAAAACAAACAATACTACAAATCTAGCAGTTGAAAATACTGAAAATTCAGGTTCTAAACACTCACCCTTGTATCGTATTTGAACTTTATTGTATTAAACCGACAATAAAATCTTCCTATGCTGAGGTTTTATTCATTAGGTTCCGTTGTTTTAAAGAAGACAAGGTTGACATCTACTCGAAATTCCACTATTGAGAAATAACGTTTGCGATTATTTCAAAGACTTTCAAAGCACAATTATTCCATTGTATTTAGTAAACAAGAATCGTTATTTGCTGGTCAGTGTAATTGCTTTACTTTTTGTTTTTATTGATCTTTCTTGCTATCGATGATCGTGAAAGATTGAAGAAGAGACATTAAGAAAGATGAAATTCAAATCAGCTGCATTAATTATTCCGTATCTTTATTCGGGTAACCCTGAATTTGATCGATAGTAAAAATGTCGCCAATACAAATGTCGAAAGCAAAGATGAGGATGCAGATAGAAGATGTAAGAGTGAGGGTGAAGATGGTGAAGATTCTCACTTTCATAAACTATGGTTTTCAACGTATTTACTTTTCAACATTTGTTCCATTTTTAGTTTTCGGCATTTTTATTTTTGACCGATTCAAGATAATCCTTTATTTGTGAGTGCTTGATCAAACTCATCATCATTGCCGTTTTCCGTCCAACCGTCCACTTCCATAAAAAAGTTTTCAACATTAAAGAAAAGAAGAAGAAAAATACTAAGCATAAAATATTTTAGATAACTCGTATATTTTTTCGTCGTCTGAAGAAGATAACTGTGTTGTCAAAGTGTCATGACCAAAACCAAAATAAGAAAGACCAACTGGATGAGCAACGTGAGACTCGTTCGAAAAATGAATGCATTTTACATCATTTTCTAAAATCTGAATCTATAAAAAACGTTTATTCTAGCAAGAACGCAGAGAAACGCTTTATTGAGCGGTTTTTCTAGGAAACACTGTGAAACACATCCCAAAAATAAATGCGTTTTGTATCGTTCCCGAAATCTGAATGTTCAAAACACCTTTAATTCTAACAAAAAACGAAGCGAAATGAGTTTCTTTTAAAGAAAATACAGTACAATGCGTTTCTATACACTAGAAACGCGTTTTGAAATACATTTTTTATACTTTTTTATGGCATGGGACCTCATTATCCGAAGATATACGTGTTTAAATTTTGCGAAGTTACGTTGCTAACCAATGATTTTGCCCATATATTGTTTAGTTGGAACTCACATAAGGATATGAGATGAGTAAACCAAACTTTGCATATTTTTAGTTTTAGCGGAAAAAAATCAATGCTTTAGAGCAAAGATTTTTTCAACAAATATCGACCTTCTGTTATATTATGATTTACAGGTAGACCAACAAGTATTCGGACACTGAAGATTACTCTTATCCTTCCTCAAAACCGCTTTTCGTCTAGGCACATACTAATCGCATGAAATTTTCAGGATATATTGGGACTGTTATAACGACAAACTAGATTGAATAGCTTACCGCCATCCTCGGTAATGATGTTTATTTGGCTAATTCACATCTCCAGAGTGTAACGGCTTCATATATAACACACGCTTATATAGGAGCGGGAAGAGAGAAAGATAAAGACGAAAGGAAGATCACAACAGGGGTGATATCAATATCGGTACCTCTGTAATGAAGAGACTATGGTAAAATTTTCAGTCCTATAATATGACGTTTTCAAGAGGTTTTCATCAAACAAGAGTAAGCAATACTTCCTTTGATAACTCAAAGTTTTCTGTGACCCTTCATTATATATATATATTAGCCTGAACCTCGTGCATATTGCACGAGTGCCTTCTCTTTAATTCTCATAGCTATGGGCATGAGTTCTCTATCTCTCATTTGCACTATGCGCTCTCTCTTCTCTGCAAGCGTTTCATGCAATGTCCTGTTATCTCTGTTCATCAACTTCATATATTTCGTTAAGTTTCAGAACCTTCTAGAACTCTGTTAACCTTACATCGTTCTGGAAAGTTCCAGAAAATTCCAGAAGTGTTTGACTTTTGACCCTAAGCTTTTGACGTCTGATCTTTTATCTGAAACAGACGGACAGACGACCGTGTTTTATTATCGAGGTATAGATATTTTTTGTTTGTTTGAAAGACAATGTCATCTTGCAGAGCTTTACAGAATTGTCCTTTGTAAATTTTTATGTTTTAAGCTGACAAGAGAACCTCGCCAGGTGATAAATCACTTCGCAGATGGGTGTCGCTCTAGGTGGATGTGGGCGTAGCTGTGAGAGCGGGTGTCCGCGTGGGTGTGCTTTTCAGATGTCCTCAACCCACATCCCTGGGACCCATGCCCTGATCCACACCCACGGAGCCCATACTCTGACCCACACCCACACCCCACCCACGTCCTAAAACTTGGTCACTAGAAGACGAAGAAGATTCACAAGCTGTGGTTATATTACCATTCAATCTTAGATGTAATCGTGCTGCGTGTGCTACAATTGAAAAAGTCGACTATGTAGACGACGAAGAAGATCGTTTCGATAAATATATGGAAAGTATTGCAAAAGAAGTTAAAATTTTTCGCGAAAATAATGGAACAATTATTTCAATAATATCAAGTGACAATATGACGAAAACATGTGCTACAATTAAACAAGATCAATCAACAAATAAGTCAAACAATAGTACAGGCATAACAATTAATGATCAGCATAATGAAACTGAATTCATGGATACAAATGATCAAATTTTATCANTATTTGAATACTTTCATGGTCTTAATATGCGTTTAGATAATCTCATTTTCATGCATTTTCAAACATCATCGAAACAAGCTTTCGAAACTGTCTGCCAAGTAAATCTTCCATTGATTACCAATCAAGTTGTTTCGTTTGGTCTCTAAGATGACGATGAAATTCCTCAACAAATTTATTTATTTCGTTCGCTCTCATTAGATTGCATTTGTTCAAGCGAAATAATTAGTCAAATTTTATTAGAATGTCCACAACTTGTTCACTTAAATCTGAATAATTGTTATTTCGGACGGAAACAAGATGATATTTCTCATTTTGTAAAGAGTGTTTGGAGTTTACCTAAGCTTATCTATTGTTATTTAAACTTGAATTTAAAATATGGATTTTATATGTCAATACCAACACCTATTTCATTGTCTATAGAACATGTATCAATCTTAGGCGTTTCTTATCATATTGGTCAATTGACTGGTCTTTGCTAGCATACACTACGTCTTCGGTATCTTGAATTAGAATTATCCAATAGTCATGTCGATGAAAAGATAGAAATACCGATTTCGTCGATAACTGAATTAAGTCTTGTTTTTGTTGGTTCACAGCATGGTATCATAGAGAACATGTTACAACATGTGCCCAATTTATGTCAATTGAAAATTGAAACTTGTTATTTTGACATGAACGGATATGGATGGGAAGAAATTATTCGTAATTATTTGCCCAATATTAAAAGTATTTCAACTGAAGATACGGTGTTCATTTATCAGTGAGAAGTATAAAAATGAATTCTTCAATTCTTTGCAAACATGATTTTAGCTTGAAGAGCATCAATGGTTTGCTAGATATCATTACAATCTAGATGATAATTCCAACATGATTTGTCTATACACATTACCAGATAGCTTTTCCTATCTGGCTATTGCTTTTCCTATTCATTCTAAATCAACTGGTTCCAATAATGATGACGATTATTTGTCATATGCTCATGCTCAACGTTAAGTTTATCGTTCTTCTTCAATAACCGAAACGATCGTGTCTAGACTTGGCTTTTCTAATGTAACTTATCTTTGAATAACACTTATAGTTAATAATCATTTGTTGCTGATTATGCAAAAATTTGATTGATTAACTTTATTAGAAGTATCATGATTGAAAAGCATGTCTAATATTGAGGCTCAGTTACANGAGAGCTAAACGTCTGAAAATGTGTACATGGATAGTACACAAATAATGTAGATCAATGGTAACCGCAGGACTAAAAATGCTCAAACAAGAATGGAGTTATAATAAGTGCCGTCCACGATCATTGTGAATCTCGTAACTCAAGAACAAAAGAGCCTTCTGAGCCGCGCAATACCTTATTTTGAAGGCCTACATTACAACTACTTCTCTTAAAAATGTTATCGAATTTCATCAAGCTATTGATGAATTAGATCGTTTTTACTTAAAACATGCATAAACAAAAAAACAGTAGTGCCATTGAGTGATGAATAACTTAGCAGTAGTTTAATAAAGCAATCTGACATTTTCAGGAAATGGTCTACCATAGATTGTCATGGTGTCCTGAAAGTTTCGGAAGCAAACGCTTTGTGAACGGAAATAGTTCACCGAAGACCATTAAGAACTTGTCAGAACTCTGGAGTCTTCATACCTGAAACAAGTGGGCACATCTTTTGAGTGATGAAGAAACATCAGTTGAGCTACACAGTCTTGATAAAATATCGATAAATTCTTATGTATTACTATGAGAACAAAACAAAAATGACGGAACCTATACTTTTCTATTTTTCTGCCTAATCGAGAATTTATCTTCATTCGTCAAAATTTGACTGAGAAAATGATTTGGATGGCTTTAGAGTTTGATAAAACAAAAGAATTCATCTTGTTCTAGACATCTATACAGTTTTTCGGCAAAACTTGATAGTGAATTATAGTACATAAGACTACGGTTTATGTAATGCTAGAGAAAAATTATGCTTTCAAGGGTTCTATAGGATAATTACTAGAGACTCTCATACTTGAAACTATCTGTGGTAGTTTTAATAAAATTCGCAGCAACTTCAAACCCAATATTGCGTGCTTGGACGAAGACAGCTAGACTTTATCGTTTCTTAAGAACTTCGAAACGTCTGAAGCGACGTTTTCAGTCAAATTTTGACAAATGATGATAATTGCTCCATTAGGCAGAAAAATAGCAAAATATACGTTTCATGATTCTTGTTTTGTTGTCATAGTAATATATAAGAATTTATCGATCTTGATCACGAAGCTGTAGCCCAACTGATGCTTCTTCATTACTCAAATGATGATCCAATTTACTTCAGGTATGAAGACTCCAGAGTACTGGCAAGTTCTCAATGATTTTTGGTGAGCCATTTTCGTTCATAAAAGCGTTTACTTCTGAAACTTTCAGAATACCATGATCAGCTATAGTAGAACATTTCCTCAAAGTTTCAGATTGATTTATCAAACTACTGTTGAGTTATTGATCACTCAATGGCACTCTACTGTTTTTTTGTTTATTCATGTTTTCAGTAAAAACGACCTAATTCATCAATAGCTTGATAAAATTCGATAAAATTTATAAGAGAAGTAGTTGTAATGTACGTCTTCAAAATAAGGTGTTGCATGACTCAGAAGACTCTTTTGTTCTTGACATATGAGATTCACAATGATCGTGGATGCCACTTGTTATAACTCCATTCTTGCTTGAGCAATTTTAGTCCTGAGGTTATCATTGATCTACATTATTTGTGTACTACCAATATACACATTGTCAGATGTTTAGCTCTCATAGGACCTAAGATCCGAGGGAGAGAATACTTTTGGCCAGTAGTGTAAATTAATTTTATTGTCCGATTAGTTTTATTGTTTTTTCAAAACGAAGATCGAATCAACGCAATTCACATTCCACTAGAAAAGCATTTGACCAGTCGACAATAAGAACATACATGACAATTATTTCACAATGACCATCATAGCGACATTTCAATGCTTCCTAGAAACAAAAAAACTGAACTAATGAATGTAGTAAAAAGAAAAAAAATGCTTATTTTCAATGAAATTTTCCATGTTCAGGAGTTTGCTTCAAAAACAGCTTTCATATATAACATGAAACTTCCCCGAAATATGAATATTTAGCAGGAGCTCCATAAATTTTACATTCAGTTTGTATTGCTGTTGATAGACGTTGTTTTGTGTACTCAAAAAGTGAGTACACTCTAGTATCGGTCAGTGTGTTCGGCCGTTTACACGATAACTTTTGAAAGAAGAGTGTGATCTTGATGAAATTTTCTACACAGTATCGTCTCAACAATATCTCGATGGAGTTCGAAGATGAGAACGATCCGTCTAGCCATTGCTGAGTTATAGCAAAAATAGTAATTTTTCCCTATGGTTTTCTATGTAAACATTGACCCATCTCAGGTTCGAAAAACCTTTTTCACTCATCATAAAAAAAAACCCTCAATTATTATATACCATTCGATAGAGAATTTCACGGGCTACAAAATGGTATATAAAATATTAAGAAGCAAAAAGGTTTAGTCATCTATTGCACAGATACTTAATCGGAAATAATTTCTGCACTTGATCATGCTCTGATTGATCGAAAATTGAAGCTTCGCTTCAAGGTTTTATCATACTTGAACAAAGGTTTTCTGGTATGGAGAACTTGAATTTGAGTTCCATTTGCCTCAAAATCCTATTGGTTGACCAATAACCAATAGAAATTGTGTTTTAGGAAAAACGATTTCCTGGGATAACCTTGATGTTTAGACATGCTATTATAACTCGGTTTTAGACAGTTTGGTCAAAATCAATCTCTCATCAATCAGTCTTGCTTTTTTGTGTCGTCAAAAAGTGAGTACACTATAGAATCTGTCAGCGTGTCAGGCCGGCCGTTTACACAATAACTCCTGAAAGGCTAATCCGATTGTCATGAAATTTTGTACACAGCATTATCTCATCAATATCTCAGTCTAGTTCGAAGATGAGAATAATTCGTCAAGGATTTACTGAGTTACAGCAAGAAATATCATTATTTTCTATGCAAATATTGACCTATTCCAATTTTTGCAAATCAAACTCTTTGTCATAGTCACAATGAAAACTCAACTATTATATACCATTCGATAGAAAATTTCATGGGCTACAAAATGATGCTAAATTTTAGTGGTAAATATGCTGCATTTGAAATTTCCTCAATACCTCAGTACCCAAAACCTATGAAAAACTCACGTATACTGACACTTTGTCTGTATGATATGTGTTTATTTTCCATAGAACTAACCTTGTTTTTTTTGGAGTAGATAGAACTTATCAAGAGCTCTAAATGATGGCATATGACACAAGTAAATATGGTGCATTTAAGGTTTCCTCAATATTGCGCTTCCCAAAAACTATGAAAAACTTATGTATACTGACACTGCTGGTCGATTCTTTTAGACAGTTTGATCAAAACCAATCTGCCGCCAGCTTCACTTTTTGAAGTACACATAACATTCGAATTTGAATCCGAGGTTTCTACATTTTTTTCATAAAATTCTTCGACGATGATTTTTCATCGCCTAGACGCACTTTTATTTGATATAATATATAGAATGAAAAAAATAATAAACTATATTACAATTACAATTTTCAATAGAAATCTTCAAGAAAGTATTCAAAACTTTAGCAAATAATGATCAAAATCGTGAAGAATGATGAAACTTCCATAAATAATAAAAGTATTTTCTTTTGAATATTTTTATTATCTCTAATGAAAACCACGATTCTTATGGTAGTTCTATGCTTATTTTATCACTATAAGAAATAAATATTCACATAAATTAATAGCAAATTGAACGAAAACAGAAGAGAAGAGAAGGATGTTTTTCTTATCTTCTTTTCTTTGAACGAATACTTGGTTTGTCGAGATGTACACACGTTAAATTGATGGGGGTAAATTTGTTTTTTCGTTCAGTCTGATTTATTTTCCAAATTATTTAAGTTGAACTTTAAAATTAATTTAATCTTGACTATTGATGTTCGATAAATAAATACAAAAAAAAGTAAATTTAAATCAGAGATGTTGATGGTTGATTGTTTTTCGACCCGCGGGCTACCCGACGAATTCAAGATATATCAACCCGTTACGGGCTGACCGCGAGCTAACCCGCAGCTTAATGCAAACTTTATTAGTATAGTTTTTCCTTGAAAATTCAGCAGTTCTTTTTACGAGTATATTCGGATTTTCATACATTAGCAAAGTTGAAGTTTTTATAATTAGAGTAGTATCTTTTATATTTCATCGTATGTACAAGTACTACAAAATTTCAACTAAAGTTCAAGACAAGAAATAGTAAAAAGTTGTTGTACATGATCATGGGTAAAATATTAACATAATAGATACTGTTTGAGTATGTTTTGAGTGAGATTTTTATTCTCAATAGCGTCCGATAATCGAAGCAAAAAAAAGAAAAGTCTGTGCACAGAAAATAATGCAAAAGTTCTATAGTAGCTTTAGGTGTGAAAAATCATGTAGGAACTTTATTAAATTTGTTCAAAGGTTAGAAATATTTTGAAAAACTCTTTCGCAACTTTGGTGTTAATCTTTTTATCAAAATACGTTTCTTTAAGCTTTTTCCATTATCGACTCCCGGACATTTCAAACATCATGTATATTCATTTGTGCAGTACAATAAAAGCTTTCGTTTAGCATTAAAATGATTGATTTAGCGCCTATAATAATAGATAGCAGACGACGAAATTAAAAAAATGTATGGCTGAACATCTCACGTAGAAAATTTCTATTTTGTTCCAAAAAATATTATTTTTCAGATATAGTTTATAAGTTTTGGCAACTTATCTTTCGGAATACAGTTCATTTTTTCAATTGTAATTGCCAAAAGTGAAAAATATTGATACTGGAAAATATCGTAAAAGTGTTTATTTCGATTTATGGAAAACAAAGAGTTTCGTTTTCTGTAGAGCAATAATGCTATATATCTAACTTGCGC